GTAGTGGTTTTGTTTTTTGCTCCATGCATACTTCTCTACGTGTGGCCTTTCCCTACTAAGTCATTGGATAATTTTTTTGCCATTGTGAACTTTGTTGTCACCCCTGTCTTAAATCCTGCCATCTATACTTTAAGGAACAAAGATATGAAGGTTGCAATGAGAAGACTGAGTCAACAGATTTTAAGTTCTAGAGAGATGATGTAACAGATTTGGTTGATGAGAACACAGGATAAATGTCATGGATCATTGAGACTCCTATGATCACCATGAACATTATGGAATGTGCCCATTTTTAATATTGCCTTAAAAAACTGAGGAATCTATGAAAAGATATATTAAATCTAATTTTAATTTTATTTCAGATAAAGTTGCAGCAATTTTTGTTAATCATAAAAATATAAAAATATAAAAATAAAGTATTATATATTTCTATCTAACGTGTATAACTAAATTATGATTACTAGCAATGACTCTCTTTTTCATATAGTTATTTTATATCTGTATATAAGTGTATAAGTACATGCACATATATATGACTTAGGGTTATTTATCAGTATCTTCATACTGATAATAAGCATCACCGCAAATTAGTATTTCTTATGGAAATTATGTAGATCCAGTGGATAAAATATGGGTTTCTATAAATGAATAAATGCTAAAATCCAGGAAGAAACAATTTTTAATTGTAATATAAGTTAGATAAATGGAAAGGTCAACAGCAGGTTACAACTCAAGTATTTTAAGTTTGATTGTCCATATGTTCTGTACAATATTATTTTAGAAATAGACTCTAGTACTCCGCATTATGCAAAATTTGTCTATGTTACACTTTTTTAACAACACAATCCTTTTGCCCTTGGAATCTTCATAGCATTTCTCAATTCACTCTTTAAAAGCATCTACAACCTACAAGTATTTGAAGAGACTTATTTTCTACAGGAGAGACTTCATTTAGATCTTAAAAGCTCATTTAATGTGCCTTTTCTTAAGGTGTTTAGAACAAAGAAAATGATTGACACCTTTCAGATAAAACCTGATCAGCCTGGTGGCCAAGGAATACAACTGAGGCATCACTTGCATGTATTTCTATGACTGTTTTAAGAAACGTTAATTGTGCTGACTCACTCTGCTCTATTTTAACTACTGTATGGTAATTAAAGTGCCAAATAAAGTGATACGTTACAAGAAGTGAGATGCTTTTTATTGGTCAAGGCAATTTTTCTGTATTTTCTCCACAAGTTAGTCATAAAAGTTCAAAGCATTCCTCTTTTTATAAAACCTAAGCATTATTACTGTCTTGTTAACCTACCTGAATTTTAATTTTGTAATTTTACCTTTCTGTGAGAGAGAGAGATATATATATATATATATATATGTATATAAACATAGATATATATATATAAACATATATATATACATACATATATATATATAAACATATATATATAAACATATATATATATATGCATGTATTGTACTTTAGGTTCTGGGGTACATGTGCAGATCATGCAGGATTGTTGAATGGGTACATACATGGCAATGTGGTTTACTGCCTCCATCCCCTGTCACCTGTATCTGTACCTTTAGACTTAGTGAGATAGCAAAAATATCCAAATAGGCCAAAAAATTGTGGCAATGTTCTCTAACTCAAGAAAATTCTGTGTGTTTCCTCCAATGGCCAAGGGAATGCTTGTGAAACTATAAAAGTTAGTCTCAGTACTCAAAGCTCAGACTAGCTATTCCCAGATCTCATCCGGTACATCTGGTCCATTCATAAAGGGCTCTTAATCAGCCAAGTGGTTTACTAAAAAAGACAATTCACATACATATAATTCTCTTAAAAATTTTATGCTTCAAGGGAGTGCAAGTGGAAGAAACTCTGTACTCCTCATTCTCTGAAAATTGCTGTTGTCTCTTGCAGTTATGAAGAAGGTAGGTGGAAACAAAGATAAAACCTATCTTAGAAGAATGAACCAAATTGTAACATTTTATTGACAATGAGATGGTTCTATTAGTAGGAATCCATTCTGCATAATTCCATTTTGTGTTTACCTTCTGGGAAAATGAAAGGATTCTGTAGGGTTGACTTAAATACTTAGAGAAATTAATATAAACAACGTTAGCAAGAATAACCGTTGTTGTAAGTATTATGCTGGCAACAATTATCGAGTCCTCCTCCTGACCCTTCTGGGTTCACGTGTCCTTTTCTCTCCCTTATTGGTTCTTTTGCCTATCTTTCCCATATCCAGTGTTTTCTTGCCCACTCCCTTCCCTCCTTTTTATAATACCAATGAAACCTGCTTCGGGGCGTTTCTTTCACATAAAGACTTAAATCATACTGTTGGAGTTGTGAGGATTTTTAGAGCTTTTGATAGAATAAACTCATTTTAAAACCATGAAAGCTAAGGCCCAGAGATTTTAAAATGATATTCCCATGACCACACAGTAAATTTGTGCTAGGACCCAAATGTCTACTTCCATCTCAGTGAGACTTATTATAAGAACACACGGCATTCTTCTTTAAACGTAGGTAAATGATTTAAAAAAAAACATATAAAAATCTAATGGTTGCATTCCAGGAATAATCTAAGACATGAAGGATTTTACCTTTCAACAGTGGCTGGCTCCTCATGGTTGCTACAATTAGTGTATAAGATTTTGAAGAACTCCTTCAATGAGCCTAAACTGAATGTTCAACTCAGAATAAATACAATTCTTCTAAAATTTTTTGAATAATTTTTGAAAAGTCAGAAATGAGTCAGAATTCGTTTTAAAGAATTCTGGTGGTGGAGGATGCCCTCAGCAGCATAAATTCAGGAGAGAGATGTCTTAATTACATGAGCAAGAAATTTCTTTTGCTAAAGAATAGCAAATTCCTGAGTTCTTACTAACAACCATGATAAGAATGTCTTTTGCTACAGATGAGAACCCTTGGGCTAACCACCATCCTTGGCATATTTCATGTGGAGATATAAATTCAAGTTTGTCCTTGTCTATCAATGAAATGAAATAATTTTATATCAATGCATATCTAAGGTCTATTCTAAGTTGCACACTTTGATTCAAAAGAAACATTCCAGCCAGTCATGTCAGAAATTATCTCATAATAAAAATCCTATCCTTTGTACTGTTAATGATTAGTATATTTATCTAAGCAGAAGAGAACTGAAGTGAATGTTCATGGTTTATTCCACTCTTAGACTTCTCTTTATTCTTAAAAAATATTTAGAATCACCTAATTCTTACAGGACTTTAAAAACAGTAATGTGTTGCTTGAGTGTGTAGGACTAAGAAATAGGATTCAGAGTAATAAAGAGAAAAGTGGAATTTCTAAGCACAATGAATTACTGTGATTAAAAAACAGCAAAAAACAAATAACAGTATTCCTCCAAAAAAATTGGCAAGTGTAAACTCTATACCTTCTTGTCTCCCCTGGAATGTTAGCCATCAATTTCCACTTCTCTCCTTTACATCTTACTTGCCCATGAACTCTTACACCTAATCCAAAATTGTTAATATGACTATGCCTCACCTTTAGGATACCTTTTATTTGCTACTTTTCTTCACTGCAAAACTTCTTGAAACAGGACTTTTCTCTCCTCCCTACACAATTGAAAGTCTCTCTCGACTCATGTTCAGAAGTCACTGTTCAGTCTCTCACCTAGCAGATTGCAACTTGCAAAGATGCCCCCAAAATACCTTCTCATCTCTAGAGTTATCATTATCCTTTAGTTTTTCTGAATTTACTTCTTCTCCTACAAGGGATCTCTATGTAAAATATTGTTATACTAGTGTTTTTCTAATTATTATCAGAGTTAAAGCCATCACAATGTCCCCAGTTACTTAGAATAAAGACACTGGAATAACATATTTTTATTTTTCACATCTTGCTGAAAAATATTTTTGTTATCAGTACCTTAATAATGGCTATGTATTAACTATTATTATTTAATAGAAAATTTATATACCTGGTTATATCCAATCCTCACAGAACTTCTATAAAGTTGTGCCGTTATCACCTGTCTTTTCCAGATGTGGTCAAAAGACTCAAATCACTTACATAACTTGTCTAAGGTCATTCAGAGCCGTAATAGATAAACCAGGATTTGAGCACAGGCCTCCTCGCACACAAGCTCACATCTTTAACACCTTAACATGATGCTTGATGGGATTTTACAGTTCTTCATTCACCACTTTCCTGCTCACACTACCACAGCCTGCAATTATTATCTATTGTTAGGCTTGAAATAATCATTTGGCTTCATTTCCAAGCTCCCTCCATTCCAATTCACATTTAGTCCAGAGTTAATTTATTAGACAATCATCAAAATTCTTTAACAGATTTTTCTTGTCTCTATAGTAAAACAGAAATTCTTTAGAAAGCATTCCAAAACCTCTTACCAATTTTATCTCCTATGGAAGTCCTCTACACTTTCTCTCATTTAAACTTTACTGCATTTTCCTCATGTTTCTGATTTCACTTTTGAATTCCCCATTCTTTTATCCTCTTATTTTTTAAGTATTATATTTATGGTATTATTTTTTCTGTTTTTTCTATTTTTTTATCTTTCATTTCGGCCTATTTTTTTTCCATTAAGAACTTTAATATCACCAAATAACCTAAGATGTGCACTACAGAATATAAGCTGTTTGATAGTTCAAACAAAAAGGAGATAAACATAGAGTTATGGCACAGGCTTAATCTGGCAGAGAGAGAAACATAAATAATAGTTTTTGATATCAGGAATAAACCTAACATTAATGGAGACACTGAGAACACTGACACAACTGAATTATAAGGCATAGCCAGGGAAGTAGTGTGAGATAAAATTATGAGCTTTGGTTGAATTCTGAAAGCCTGTAAGTAATCAATTATAGAAAGTCTGTGTAAGCATGACCAGAATGATACAAAATGAATATATAATTCTGAATATATATATGAATATATTTAAATATGAATATATAATTCTGAATTCCTTCTCATTATCTTCTTCAAGGTAACTGAAGAGTCTATTTCCTGGAATGAATCAACAAGTGAAACAAATAACTCCATGGTGACTGAATTCATTTTTCTGGGTCTCTCTGATTCTCAGGAACTCCAGATTTTCCTATTTGTGTTGTTTTTTGTATTCTATGGAGGAATCGTGTTTGGAAACCTTCTTATTGTCATAACAGTGGTATCTGACTCTCACCTTCACTCTCCCATGTACTTCCTGCTAGCCAATCTTTCACTCATTGATCTGTCTTTGTCTTCTGTCACAGCCCCCAAGATGATTACTGACTTTTTCAGGGAGTGCAAAGTCATCTCTTTCAAGGGCTGCCTTGTTCAGATATTTCTCCTTCACTTCTTTGGTGGCAGTGAGTTGGTGATCCTCATAGCCATGGCCTTTGACAGATATGTAGCAATATGCAAACCTCTACACTATACCACAATTATGTGTGGCAACACATGTGTCAGTATTGTGGCTGTTGCATGGGGAATTGGCTTTCTCCATTCGGTGAGCCAGTTGGCCTTTGCAGTGCACTTACCCTTCTGTGGTCCCAATGAGGTCGATAGCTTTTATTGTGACCTTCCTAGGGTAATCAAACTTGCCTGTACAGATACCTACAGGCTAGATATTATGGTCATTGCTAACAGTGGTGTGCTCACTGTGTGTTCTTTTGTTCTTCTAATCATCTCATACACTATCATCCTAATGACCATCCAGCGCCGCCCTTCAGATAGGTCATCCAAGGCTCTGTCCACTTTGACTGCTCACATCACAGTAGTTCTTTTGTTCTTTGGACCATGTGTCTTTATTTATGCCTGGCCATTTCCCATCAAGTCATTAGATAAATTCCTTGCTGTATTTTATTCTGTGATCACCCCTCTCTTGAACCCAATTATATACACACTGAGGAACAAAGACATGAAGACTGCAATAAGACGGCTAAGAAAATGGGAAGTACATTCTAGTGTAAAGTCTTAGATCTTATATAATTGTGAGATTCATCTCAGATGACATAAAATATAGTGAAGTTGGTACGTTAGTAAAGCTCATGAAAACTGTGCCTTCTATTCCCTATTAATACTTAAATTAATAATTTAATAATAGCCTAGGAAATTTCACATACATTGCCTCAATTTATCTTTCAACAACTTGAGTGTTATATTTTAGAATACAGATATAAAGTTATTATGCTTTCAAAATATTCTTTTATTAATTCTTAGAACAAAGAAAGGCATAAATATATTACTATTTGTATACACCTGCTCCTTCCTGTATGATCCTAAGCTTAGTAGAACAAAGGAGAGAAAATAGCCTGGCTTAGAAACATTTTAAAATTTTTATTTGGCCCATTTGTAAAAAACACAAAAAAAGAACTGCCACATGCTTAATTTTAAAACATGTGCTTAGTGATAAGGAGATATATGTCAGCTTTTAAGAGGTTTGAAAAAAAAATGCCTCCCATTATAAGAGTTTATACTCCATCTCCCACCTCTGTAACAACCCCAATTCATGAAGGCATTATCCGGCGTAATAGGAAGAGTAAATTTGCCAATGTAAAATGTGCCTTTTAGGCACTTGCCATCTGTGGTATATGAAAACTGCTCATAAGCAGCAGAACAAATTTAGAGGGATCCAGTCTCTCGTCATGTTGGCACAAAGTGTCTTACTAGTATCCATCTATGTCATTTTTCCATGGTTAGCTTTTAAAAACACAGGCTTTAAAGTAACAACAAAAAAAGCTGGGCTCAACTCTACTGACTCTTATTAATCATGATTTTGGACACATTACTTAGCTTTCATTTCTACATTTATAAATAGGTGATAATACAAATTATGCATGGTTTCCAGATTCATCCATGTCCTTACAAAGGACACAAACTCATCATTTTTTATGGCTGCATAGCATTCCATGGTGTATATGTGCCACATTTCCTTGTCCAGTCTATCGTAGATGGGAATTTGGGTTGGTTCCAGGTCTTTGCTATTGTAAACAGAGTTGCTATGAACAGTCTATTTTTTGCAGTTGTAGGAAAAAACTTTTATTTTTTATTTGTAAAATTTACTCACTCCTTATTCATAATTCGTTTAACTATTAAGTACATTAATGTGTACAATGCATGGGAGGAACCAATATATTCAAAATTTCTCTTGAAATTTGGCCAGAAGTCATGTGTACTCCTCCCCTGGGAAACAGGCAGGCAGCAAAGTTTTGAATCTATGCAGTTAAGTATGTTACTGTAATATATATATAACATCTAATATATATATATCTTATATATAACAAAGTATGTTACTGTAATATATCTAACA